TCAACCACCTGGCTTACTCAACGGGCCTTCATCTGGTTCAACCCCAGATACCTCACTGCTGAATTTGCCTCGTTTCCTACGTGCTTACCAAGTGCCTAGTGCTTATTCCTACAGTGGCATTTCTCAGCTCATCACATGGTATTTTAATTTCACATTATCTTTCTCTATCTCTTACTGGACTCTGAGCAAAGGAGAGCAATGTATTGAGAGAGAGAGACTGCGGCTGTATCAGAGGTAAGGTCAATGCCCTGGTTGCTAATGATTACAGTGAGGTGGGGTGGTGGGGGTGTGAGAGACAAGTGTGAAAGATTATTCCTTAAACCACTATGTCTGCGGCCAAAGGCCACCTGGACAAATCATGGTATCTCCAGATTATCAGTCCTATAAAGGGAACCTGATGGGGAAAAAGGAGGGAAGCTGGACGGGAAGGTATCTGGCTTACCTTGTGTTTCTATCATGGTTGCACATGAGAATTACCTGGGGGAGCTTTGAAAAATACCAGCTCCAGGTCTAGCCTTGGAAAGTCTGTCTTAGTTGTGCTGGGATAAGGCTCAGGCACTTGTCTTTTTAAACGGGTCCTCGTAACTCTTATGAGGATCATATTGAGAATCTCTGGTTAGGGAAGTGTAAGGTTAAAAGGGTGGGCCATTTTTGCAGTGTGTGTAGGGGGGCTCCTGGGAGTAAAATTAAGTCAGCCAGAGTGTCCCATCTATTTCCATGATATACACTATTTAATTCTGCTCTTCAGATCCCAGACTCCTTCAGATCACACTTCTCAAACCAGAGGAACACAGACGTTCATTCTGCTCCGGCAAGAGTAAAGACTAAAAACTCACCAAATCAGTAAGCAAATGATTTCTGCTTTCGGAGAAAAGACCTTGGCCGGTTGCGGCAGGGAATTAACATTTCTTGAGACCCTCTTCTACATTAGGGGTCTTTACATTGGTATTAGGGGGCTTCCTGTAGATTGTCTCAAGAGAAAAAAAATGTCTAACTTACAAAATGAACTATTGAAATGATTCCTCCACTAGAACTAAAGAGGACCAGACCAGTCTTGGGCAAAGTTGGACAGAGGTGGCAAAGGTTGTCTTCAGTGCTCTTGCTTCCTTCCATTTCCGGCAGTCCTGTTGTGTCCGTGCCTCCTTGGCCCCAACACACCCTGCCCCCAAGCATTGTTGCTGACCTTCCTCTGCCTCTTGTGGCATTTTCCTAGTCCCAGATCTTTAATAACTGAGACTGGATGGAATAATGAGATAATCAGCCACAGTAACACTTGATTAAAGGTTACTGTTCTCACAGAAAGTAATACTTCTGTCTAGTTAAAATTCATGAGTTGGCTTGAGAAGGCCCTTAAGGAATGATCTTAAGATGGGAATCATTTCAGACCCCTTACATGGCAGATGGGGGAGATACAGTTTTAACACCTTCATTGAGATACAATTTACATATTATAAAATTCACGCATTTTGCAATAGCCAAAAGGTGGAAGCGACTCATATGTCCATTAATGGATGGATGGATAAATACATATAATGGAATATTTATTCAGTTTTAAAAAGGAAGGAAATTCTGACACATGCTATACAGGGATGGACGTTGAAGACATTATGTTAAGCAAAATAAGCCAGTGACAAAAGGACAGTTACTGTATCTTTCTGCTTATATAAGGTACAAGAGCAGCCAAATTAATAGAGTCAAAAAGTAGAATGGTGGTTGCCAGGGGCTGGAAGGAGGATGGAATGGGGAGTTTTTCAGTGGGAATGGAGGTTGGATTCTGTAAGATGAAAGAGTTCTGTGCACGGATGGTGGCAATGGCAGTACCACAGAGTAAATGTATAGAGTGCCACTGAATTGTGTACCTAAAGGAGGTTACGATGGTTAATATTACGTATATTCTACCATAATTGAAAATAAAAATTTAATTTGCCAATTTAAAGTGTACAACTTAATGGTTTTCAGTATACATACGGAGTTGTGCAACCATCACAATAATCTAATTTTTTAAAGATTTTTTAAAAACTTTATTTATTTGACAGAGAGAGATCACAAGTAGGCAGAGAGGCAGGCAGAGAGAGGGGGGGGGAAGCAGGCTCCCTGCTGAGCAGAGAGCCTGATGCCGGACTCGATCCCAGGACCCTGACATCATGACCTGAGCCGAAGGCAGAGGCTTAACCCACTGAGCTACCCAGGTGCCCCACAATAATCTAATTTTAAAACACTTTCATCACCCACCCCACTTCCCCCAAACCCTCCTCATACTCATGAGCAATCATCTGGGGAAGATATTTTTAACATGCCATAGGCGTCACTCAACACTCATAGACACTTAGAAGGGACCTGAGAGATTTGGTCTTATCTCCTCAGATGAAGAAATTGAGGGTCAGGTAAGCAGAGTGTCTTGTCAAAGGTCACACAGCTAATTCATGACAGAACCAGGTCTTGATTTTCTGGGAAGTTCTTTGTCCTGCTACAAAAATGCTGCCCCTCACTTTCTTCAAATTGGTGCTTATGATAGACAAATAATATCTGGAGATATTACTGCTCCCCGCCGAGGGCAACTGGGCTCTTTCTTCAGCCTCCCTTCACATCTGCCTGAGCTAGAAAGCAGAGAGGAAAAGAGTATAGTGGGGAAAAAATGGAAACTGTGTTCAATAATGCCCCCTGATGCCTTAATTCCACTGGGGAAGAGTCATAACAAGTTTTACTGAAAATCATGTCTCAGCCCCTCATAGAAGAATGATTGGAAACACAGCTAGGTGCAGGGATCTTACTTTTGAAGGATGTGGTGTTTTTGTAGTGGAGACAGGGGAAAGTGGCAATAAACAGCAACATCATGCGTCAGCAATACCAAGGTCCTGGGCTGGCCATGGTGGTCACAATGCCCCTTGCTGTCTGGCTGTTGGAGAGCTGCAGAGGAAGTGGGAGCTGCAGCTTCTGTAAGTCTTGCAGTCTTCTACTTCCTGTAGCATTTAGGCCCAGGCTAAACTGGCTTGACTGAGGAAGTCCTTGGATAAAAGTTGGGGTTAGGGGAGCAATGGATAACTAACTTTGTGAGTGAAAGCCTTCCAAATGTGTTCCAGTATTCCTTTGGAACTCATTGTCAACTGAAGCATTTTCAACTGTCCTTATTTCCAGGAGAGCTGGTGGGGAGGGCTCTGTGGTTGCTAATGGTAGGGAATGAGCAACCAAGTATGAGAGGCCATGGAAAATCATGTAGCTATAGATCTGGAAATTTCTATACCAAGTCCTGAAGCCTAATTGTGAGATTTGGACCTCTCTCTCTCTCTCTCTTTTTTTTTTTTTCTCTCCTCTGGTTTCTCTGAGAATTTGAGCTATCCTCCTCCTTCCGGGTTACCACCCTAACTCACCACAGGCTGATGTAGGTCGCTTGGAACGTCTCCATCTGGGCTACTCAAGAGACAAATACTCTAAACCTCCTGTGGGTTTCCACCCTAATGAGACAAACCTGACTGGAGAGACTGCCATGGGGAATGACATAGGTTTCTAGACAACAAGTTCCCTGAGGACAGTGTCTGGATTATTCATTTTTACTGGTGCCTAGCAGAGTGCCTGGATCATGTGTTTGCTGAATGAATGAGTAGTAACATTTCCTATCAAATGATGCATTATTACTTACAAAGTGATTTATCTCCCACACATTAACTCATCCTTGCAACTGCTCCTACCTTACCCCTGGAAGGTAGGCAGCAAGACTGTTTTACATATGAGGTCACATAGCTGTAGGTTGGCTTTCAGAGTCTAAATCCGTTGGCATTCTCATAAAGGTGTCTTGAGACTGCCCTTGCTAAAATATTCTGCCAAAGCCCTGCGAGATCTGAATATAGATTCAGATAGACATTGGTGGATTCTGAATTTTGTTCCTAAATTTGGAATAGACATATTCTTCATCTAAATATAGTCTCACTAATGGTATGATTTTGTGCTATTTGCTAATCACTGTGGGTGTGTAGGATTTTTTATTATTATTACATTTTGAATTACATAGAATTTAGGGGCTAGCCTGGTAAACTGGTGAATCCCCATGTAGTTTGTAGCAGCTATTTCCTGATATAGATTTGGCCTGATATACTATTGTACCTAATACAGTTTTTGGTGATTTCAATTAACTAGATTGTAGCTTTATGGACCTAGGTCTTCAAGAAACACATGTTCAAACATTCTCCCTCCTTAATGAGATCCTTGTTCCTGTTGAACTTCTATGACCTTATTGGAAATCAATGATTGCTTCTGATCCTCCAAATGTAATGTTGAAAAGACCTAGATGAAATCACTATACAAAATGCTTTGAGATTGCAGGATGTGGAAAGCGTGCTGTCATTAAAATGAATGATTCTGCTTGGAGGTAAACCGTATTTTCAGTCTGTGTGTATATTGCGCATGAGGGAATTTCTCTGTGCAGAATGATTTTCTCCAAATAATTCGCACGCTCACAGCACGGCTGGTAGCAGGTATCACCTAGCTCCTAGGTGGCAGCTTGGCTAAAGCAAGCTTTCCTTTCCTAGCAACTGTTGCTAAGAGGGGCGTGGCTAGGGAGTCCAGCTAGGACGCGTTAGGCCGCCCCCCCCCCGCCACGACGCAGACTACACTTCCCATCATGCTCGAGGGTGGTCTCCGTAGTGACGCACTGGGTGTCCGAGCAGTCGGGAGGAGAGGCGGGGGCGGTGGCGGCGGCTGCGAGGAGGGGCCGTGCTCTCCCCGTGTCCCCGACTTGCGCTCGCTCAGGCAGCTGCCGCCGCCGCCGCCATGTTGGCTTGAGAGGCGATGACAGGAGGCGGCTGCGGCGTTTGGGACTGAAAAGTGGAGGAGAACGAGAGACAAAGCTCCGAGAGGAAACCATTCCCGGGCTGAGGAGAGGGAGGACCCGGCCTCTTCCGGGGACCAGTCGAAGTCGGCGTTGGAGGGGAGGGGAAGGTGGCGGCGGGGGGGGAGGCGGAGGCAAGAGAGGAGCGCCGAGAAGCCGGAGACGATGCGCCCCGACACCCGACGCTGCCCGGAGGCGCCCGCGGCCTGAGCCCCAAGGGGCCGTGGGGTCTCCCACCCGGCCCGAACGCCCCGCGCCCCGCGCTCGCCGCCCCAAGCTTTCGCTTCGGCTCCCAAGTAGTTAAATGCCCTTGAGCGCGGGTTTCCGCGGCCCGGCTCCCAGCCCCGGCAGCGCGAGTTGAGCTGTTTCCCCGCGCCGTCCGCCGGCTCCAGCGCGGCCGCCACTCACTGCTCACGCGTCCATGTGTAGCCACATAGTTATCTATGTACATCCACGCTGGGGCATTTTCCTCCTGCTTAATGAGGACTTGACTCGGGAGCAAGTGTGAATCACTGCCGGGCTGGGAAAGGAGGAAGGCGGATTTAACCCCCTCCCACCCCGCTCCATGTCCGTGTGTCACTCGGCTGGGTCTACCTGGTACGGCCGGTCCTGGGGCTGCTGCTGCGGCTGACGACGACGGGGGCTGCTGCTGCTGCTGCTGCTGCTGCTACCGTCCCGGGAGTTCTCTCCGGCTTCGGCCACACAGGTCCTGGGGATTGTTCTCTTCGCTCGGAACCTCGGTCAGGCCGGCACTTTGGCTCCGAAATAACTTATTTTTTTGGAGGGCACATCACGAACCAATCAAGATCGTTAAGGTTGATTGCTGTACCTTGAAGAGTTCTCCTTTTTTGTTTGTTGTTGTTTGTTTTTGGTTTTGCCCCCGGTAAACATCTCTGGGTGTATATCAAACGGCAAGATGTCCAGTAATGTCCCGGCAGATATGGTAAGTGAAGGATAAGTTACGACATTCTTTGATTTAATTGTGGTTTCCAATCTTATTTAATCAGAAAGGATGCAGGCGTGAGGTGAAGGTTTGCAGGGGACTGTTGAAAAGCCACGGTGCTGGGAGATTTGGAGAAGTTGGAGGAGGTTCTGGTTCCCCCTCTTAGGAAGTACCGCTTTTAATACGGCTTTTCTCATTTGGTTGTGTTTTCTAAATCATCAAAGACAATGGAGAAATAGGGGAAATGTGGCAGTGTAGGTCGAAGTGGAGAAAATATCTCCCTCTTTGCCAGAAATCTTTGAACATTTGCAAAGCTTCTGAAAACGTCAGTGACAGGAGGCAGAGCTGAGGACGGGTGTCCCTACTACATACAGCGGTAGGCAGGGAAACTGGAATCTTGTTCTTTGACACTGACGAGATCATTAATGCAGTAGAGACAAACTTGATATTTTCAAGAAAACGGACGTGTATGTCTTCAAGAAAAAGTCTGCTAGAATTTGCTGTGAGCTTTTTGAAATGTCTGGGTGAACAACTATGGCAACAGAAATACTGAGATGTTTTGGAATTTTCGGAAATCTAGACTGACCGTCTATTATTGGTACTTAATGAATTTCCAGGACTTTTAGTACCAGATATTTAGTAGTATTACATCACTGGACTTTTAAAAGCCAATAAAACACAGTATTGAGCCTTGATCTTTGAATGTTGAGAACTTGAAACAAAAAGTACTTTTGTTTATTGATGCTTTTCTTTCTGTTTCTAAAGGTTAATGTTTGTTAATGTTCTGAGTCTGTTGGCTAACAGAACCCTGTAGGCTTACAGTGAGGGGAGGTGGTGGATTTGTGAGTTGAAATTACACTTTGCAGTCCTAGGCACAAACATAATGCAATTAACAGGGAAGATCTCTAAAGAATTGAAGTTAACATTAGCATTTGAGTGTTCGTGTATTCCCATGAAAAAACAAAATTGAACTTGGCTGATTAAATTTTTAAACGTCAGATAATTTCTGTAGGAGCGAACCTCATGTACAGACTTAAAAACAAACCTAACTGACTGTAAATGGCATATTTTGACCTTGGTTTAAAGCCATTTTGCTTATGTTTGATTTGCCATTTGATGTACTATTTTAATGTATAGGAACCACAGTGTTCTGTTGTGTGGCCACACAGCAACTTAAACTCTCCTTCCTGAGTCTTAAAACTCCTGAATCGTCCCTTTAGTTTTTCCCTTCCCTCCTGGTGTGCACATGGGAGAACAGTCTCCTGCCCGACTCAGGATAAGCTGGACGTGGTTTCCTCTACCCACTCTCGAAGTTGCCTGGAAGGGTGTGTGGACTGAGTTGGAAAATGTTATTTCCCCTCTCTGATGAGTATTTTGGGGGCTAATTGCTTCCAGCACAGATTTGTTCTCTCAAGTCTCCGTTTTGTATTGTCGGTGGTGCAAGATAATGTTCACTCTATTTTGTCATAGAAATTGTAATGAAATAGATTTGTGTCTTTAAAACAGTGCCACTACTTTCTTTAGGCCCAGTGATGAAGAAAAGCTGGAATGTGCGTAGCATCAGTTACAAACTGAAATGATTTGGGGAATACCGTTTCCAAGTCAGAAGAAGGTTCGGGAGCTAATGTTCGGGTCAGGGGAACGGGAAGTAGTAGCAAGGTTATATTAATAGGTACAATTATAAAATATAACTATTTCTGTTTTAGACTGTATTTTAAGGCCTTGATTCGGTGGTGCTTTGAGATCCCTTGATTAAAGGTGATATGCAAGGGCAAAGCAGTATTATGTAATAAACATATAATGCCCTGATGATGCTGTTTCAGAGTATGTCTAATCTACAGCTCAGATTAGATTGTTCTGAGTATTTTTTATGTCTCATTTTCGAATTGCTCAACTTGTTGGAAGTCTTGAGGTTTTTTTTCTCTGTCACAACCTCTTAAGCCTTCATTTGCTCTTATATCGCATTTTTGCTTAAAAAGTACCTTTATTTGATAAGTGCCTGCAATTCTCTACTTTTTGAAATATAACATGATATATATGGTTAAAAGTTGTTGATTAAATGCTTTTTGTTTTGTTAAAGTCTTCATATCAATAATTGACAGTTTGCGTTTACATTTATGACTTTTAAGTAAGAACCATTTCAGCACTCTGAATCTTGAACAACCTTAGCCTCCCTACCCCCACCTCCTTCCACAAGCTGACATTGCTTTTGCAACGTGACTCCTGACTGATAAGGATATGTACTCTTGGAAGTATGAATGCATACATTTTTGCAATGTGCAGTAAAATGTTCAAGTTTCTAATGGTGACAGTCGGTGCTATGTAGAAACAAATGTTACGCTCTTTTACATGTTAATGGTGCTTGTCCTTGTATAGGAAAATCCTAGTTGGGAGATGAGGTGGGGCAGTGAAATTATAATCTCTGTCATTTTTTCATTAGAGTTAATTCATTGTTAAGTTACAGTAATTGCTAAATCAATTGATGTTTTTGGTAAAGTCTTCATATGGCAATAATTGTGACTGACTTTAAAACCAATTTTTTAGCATCTTTTTTTGTTTTGTAAATACAACTTCCATTTCAAATTTGTTTCTAAACATTCAGTAAGTTTTTGTGTTTACCATAAGGAGTCTCTTTTTTTTTTATAACCTGAATTTAGCAAGTTGATCTTTTTGGATGGGAGTGGCACCCCTAGTGAATGGATTGCTATACTCTTTAAAAAAATTTACAGTTGGTACTTTAGCAATTAACATTCTGTAAATATGTCCTATATATAAGTGTATTTACATAAAATATTGGTTTTTCTTTAGCTATAAGTGATTGAGTTTGAACTAAAAGATATACTAGCATTTCAGTATAATAACTTACTTGTGGAAAAAAAAAAAACCCTAAAAATATCTGAAGAGAATATCATTGTAGTACATTGTATTTAAATGATTCATTTCCTTTATTTATTTTTTTTTTCCAGCCCAAATCATAATTCATGATGGGGCAGTATTCATTGTTAATAATTGTAGGATGAATTATGCTAATGACTATAGGTTTTCTGAAAGAAAATGTTTACTCTTTCTGTTAATGGTAAGGCCTAAGCCTGGATAGATAAGGTGGTAATTTTGTTTTCTGGACTGGGAAATTATCAAGAAATTATTTATAGGAGTATTACAGAAAACATCTGAGCTACTATTTAGAGTTTTGGACCAAAATTATATTTTATGATATTTATAAAATTGAAAGCCCTATGTAAAAAAGAAATTGACAGTGTGAGAATATTAGCAAAGCAATTTTGGTATTTGAAACATTTTAATTCATAAAACAAAGAAAAGCCCTGTATCTTTTTAAGCTATTAAGGTAGAAATTGTAATAGATACAACAATTTTTAGTCTGGGGTTAAGTAAGATAATGATAATTTGAGTTTTTTCATTGGTTAGTGATTACTTTTTTGGTAATGTTATATCTCTTTTATTTGTGGAGAAATATGGGAGCCCTCTGGTGGACAGGAAATTACTAAAATGAATTTCCTTTCAAATTGAACTTGTATCACTTTTCCAAGTTAAAGTAAAATGACAGATGTAGAATATGCCAGGGGACGATGTCATGCTAGAAAAAGGTCCAGAGAAAAGAAAATTTTTAACTTTGAAGAAGGAGTATATTAAGATCTAGTGCCCCAGATATTCTCTTTACTTATAGCTTCTTTTAATTTTTCTTTCTCTTGCTGGAGCTCTTATTTCAAATATAAGTGGGGAAGTTTTATGAAGCTAAAGGGTAGATAAGTATGTTTACCTATGTAAATTTGTGACAGTGAACAGTCTAATAAATAATATATCTCAAATGGCATGTTCTTCTAATTGTTTTACTTGAATATGTCTTACATTTGATGTTCTGAATTAGATATTTTTCATTAAGAAAACAGAAGACAATTTACCTCAGCTTTGAATGCCTTTTGCTTTCTGGCTCTAAATCCTATTCCAGCTCATGTCCCTCTCCTGTGAAGATCGCTTTTAGTTCATTTCTAGCCCTTGAGTGTGAACCATTTTGTGACCGTGTGTTAGAGATTCTTCTTATACAGTGTCAAATTTATATGGATATCTGTCTTATATTACATCTCCCATGATTTTTAAAACAGACATTGTAAAGCCAGTGAATGATTTTCTTAACTCATGGAGCATTACTCTCTTTATTGTAAAAAAGTACTACTTTTTTACAATAAATCAGTACTACTACTGATTATGGTGTTAAATATGAGGTGTATGATGCCTGTTTCTGTTACTACTTTGAATATGGAAAATGTATTTTTAATATTAAATCTTGAAATTCTCTTGAATTAGTGGTTGGTTACTGATGGCTCTAATTTTCTTAATATGGAACAGTAGATATATTGTAGGAAACTGAAGTATATGCTTCCTAAATATATTCTTTAAGAATTCCTCTCATTCTGGGGGAAAAGCTGAAAGTGACTATAGAATTCCTGGTAACTGGAATCCCTAAGGAGTGTCATTCTGAAACAGTAAATTTTCTGATTTCATGAAGGTTATTTTGGAAATACCCGAATCTAACAAGTTGGACTACTATCCTATTTACTTGAGCATGATATGCTGCACATAATTCAACTTATTTTTGATGACCTAGAGCCATCATTTGAGTAATATTGATTCAATTCAATGTATGTTCTTCGTTGAGTACTTCTCTGTGTAACATATGATTATTCTATCAGCTACAACTTCAAATCCTGAGCACCTAATATAGATTGTGAAGCTTTATGCCCCTTTACTGGGTCAATAAATTTACAAAGTGACATGAGGCAAGTCAATTGAGATGTGAGAATAAAAATATTAGAATTCCTATTTATTTATTTTATGCTCCCAAAAGAGGAATTAAGCTTTTGTATTAATATATGGATTGGCTTTGGGGCGCCTGGGTGGCTCAGTGGGTTAAGCCGCTGCCTTCGGCTCGGGTCATGATCTCGGGGTCCTGGGATCGAGTCCCACATCGGGCTCTCTGCTTA